GTGATAGTAGACTTGCGCAGCATCTATCGCACTCCGCTCTTCCTCATCAACCTCAGCCAAGTGTCAAGATGACCGAAGACGGGATCGGAGGCAGTGGCGCTGTGTCCCTGATCTTTTATAAAATTGATGTCAAAGATTAGGAAATGTTGCCGGTATACATAAAATCTGGAAAATTGTCGTTCGGATGATAAATCCCATTCCTCGGCTGTTTAAAACCTAACCTAACCACGTCCGTACAAAGGCGACTACCCTTGTATGCTGATTATATGGTTTGTTGCGTTCAGTCCGTAAACCGTATCTCCGGGCGCGTATGTCGTTTTCCCTTACACGTCTGACTAGAAAATCCAATGATATTTTATGACAGTCGACAGTTTATGTAGGTGCTTAAAAATTAGCTAAGAGTGAGCAAGTTAATTAAACCGAGCAGGATGCTGATGTGGATGACGAAATCACGGCAATTAACGACTCGGACTGACAAGCCACCACCGCATCAATTACGACCCCAGCAGTGATTGAAAGAACTGTTAATTGCAGTGTGCATACGGTCCCATGGCAGCCACGTGCTATAAATACTGCACTCCCTGTGCCACCATCACCTTTATCTGCAAATGTCTCTGATGATGGATTCGAGTGAGAATCCGAAACGTCGGGCCAATAAATTTCTTGTTCCAGTGATCGCATCTTCGTCTTCTGAACTGCTACCTGGAACTCGCCTGTTCGCTTCCATCAGCAATAAGGACCCTCTCGTACTACAAGTAGTCTTGCTCCAAACTCCTGGGGGGTGACTGTCCTCGTGTTCTAACTCTAACCCTAACCCTAACGCTAGATCTCATAACCTCAACCCTAACCCCCCTGGCGTCTGGCAAAAGATCACCTGTAATATGGGTGTGGTGGAGAGGCCGTATTCCCATACACCACCGAAAAGTGATCGCAGCCCAACTTCAAACTGGGTGAATGTTACTCTTCCAGTCAGAATGAGCTAATGCGGAGTAAACGAGGGCATAACGGAATTCATGAGGTGAAAAAAGCATCCGTAAACTGAAAACCACTTTAAGACGGGAGAAGCCAACTGGTAAACAAGTTCTTGCTAATCATTTAAAAGGAGGAAAAACAGTGATGCAATCAGGAATGAAGTAACGGCAAGACTCAGGACGGTCAATACTGAGTCATCCAACTGCCCCCCGAACCATCTGCAACAACCATTTCTTGCAAGAATTCGGAAAACCTGTATTGTGGTAGCACAGAATTGTCTCATTTTCAGAGTGCGGAAAATTTTGGTAGGATAAAAGGGCTTGGCCATGTTGTCGACTGTGGTGCAGGCAATATGACGAT